GGAATCCGAGGGAATCCAAGGGAATCCGAGGGAATCCAAGGGAATCCAAGAGAATTCAAGGGAATCCAAGAGAATCTGAGGGAATTCGAGAAAGGGATGGGAATCCTGGAATTCAAGATTCCTGAATTCCGCTATTCACCCCTTGAATATATGAAAAAAAAAGAAAATATCGATATTGATTTACCAGTAGTCTACCACTGACCTTTTATCGTGTACTTACTATCACCCTCTTCTATTAAAATCTTTGTTGTATACAAAATTATACTAACGTACAAAAGGGTCTTTACTAACACGCTGTTATCTACTCTACATTTCTGTTCTTTTTTTCTCTTTTAATTTCTGTTAAACTCAACTTATTACTGCTGTTATCTTGTTAAATTACTAAAGGAACAATAAACTTTTCAATGTTAAAAAAAAACATGTTAAGTAACAGTTATGATAACACATTTTTATTGTAATGTTCTTGATAATAAAATCCGTAAGTTAAATATTAATAGACATTGATTAATTGTATTTTTATTTCAGAAATATTTCTTAACAGAGAACCTACGGAAGTCTGTATATATTTACTTGAAAAGCATACTTTTCTTAACATTTTCTACAACTAAAAACTATACTTTTACTATAGAAATATTTCGAAATATAAATTGACATCGAACTTTTGGATCATCAATTGTCATTGACTAAAAACAACATTCTCACTAAAATTTTCAATATTTCATTAGCACAGTCAAGTTGAACATGTTTTTATTTTATTTCAATCTTGAAGAAAAAAATTTCTACAGAAATATTTAAATATGATGAAGTTTTAAAGACAAATTTCAATTCTCTCAGCAAGACAACGTAATCGATACGGTCGATTTATTGGATATTGATTTAGTTGATGTTGAATTAGATGTGGAAAACAAGGTGATTCCAAGTAATTGAAACTGATGAAGTCGATGTGAAGCAAAACAAGCTGTTGCAAATGATCAATAAGGAAATAAATAACGTTAACAATACGTTTTGTAGATTCATTTTCACCATCAATAATACGTGATGGTATCCATTTCCACCCATCACATGAATCATAGATTTTAAACAAAACCTTTTTCAAATTAGCTAATTGATTTGACAACAATCTGCCAAAATACTGAATATTTTTCAATGTCAATGTCATATCATCAATTTCCAATGTTTGTATCTAATTGATAGAAAATCTAATTTATTTTAAGAAATCATTTAAAAAAACTTCGTTCTATAAATTCAAACGTTTATAATAATCTTTCACTTCTAACATCAAATTGGAAGAATTTTAAAAAGAGACAATCTTAAAACGGTAAAAGTCAATTAAAGCACAATTTCCAGATAAACTAATTTCAATGAATTTTTTTTAATAGAAACCCTTACTTGTTGATTAACACGAGTTCCGAGATTATCAATATTATGTAATATCGCGTGGGAAAAAACTCCCCTATCATCACGTATAACCAGTGTATGGACATTATAAGCCATCCGTAATATTGATTCTAGTTCACCTGTAGTAACAACATCACCTTCATCAATTGAAATTTTTGTTAATAACGACCATGGAACTAATGATGATATGAAACTTCTAAAATTACTCAGCTCTGAAATACAATTCTCATTTCTACAACCAGTCAGGAATAACTCATTTGCACGTGGAAACAAATCTACGCCATTAGTTGGCATTTGACAAGATCTTAAATAGAAAGAAAGAATTCTGTAGATTATTTATACAAACAAGATATTTTCTACATACTTTTCCAGATCTCTAGAAAACAAATATGTTGAAATTATTCTGTCATTACATGGTGCAGTGAACACCATGAAACAATGGTAGTCATGGCCGACATAAAAATTACTATGTTCCTGAATGAATACTCTTTGTTCTTGTCGATTGGCAAATGGAACTTTCAAAAATGAATTGAAAATTATTTTTTCCTTTATATCATCTTGAACATCTAATTTTAAATTAATATTATAGGTTGCTCGTGGTTTGAGACGATTGATACACAATTGTTGAATAATGTCACCTGATATCACCAATGGACTAGAGATAACTACACGTGCTTGCAATTTTAATGATAGATGATTAAGTTGACCAAACACAAATAATAAAAGCGCAATAGTTCGATGAAAACTAATGCTATTTTTACAATTTATATGTAGACGAGATAAATGCAAAAGAAGATGAGCATCGACAGTGTTAGGTAGTCTAAAAAAGATTTATATAAGCGATACTTTTACAGATGATGGAATATTACTTACGAGTTTATATCAAAATTGTCGTGCTCATTCATTGCTAGATCATTGACACCAACAGAAAGATATTCAATAAATGGTATACACTGTAGTAAACGTTCAAGAAAGTGTGATGTGTTCATACCAATGGTCAATGTACGAAGATGAGTTGTATTTAATAAATTTGGTAAACTCATTATTGGTACTACTGAATATTTGTTTAATTTATATAGATTTTTATGATAAACATTAAATGGAAGTCGACAATTTGTTAGACAAGGTATTTGCGAACACACCTTTTATAAATAAACAAAAGGTAAATTTTACGTACGATAATATTAAGAGATCGATGTTTAGACAAATCATCATATGGACGAAATATCGCAGGTATGACTGTCAGCAAGTGGGAATGCATGAAGTATTCATGCCCAATGTAGACACTCTTTCTAATATCATATGTATACCAGCATTTCATTTAGAACTCTAAGTTGCAACACTTTGCTCATGTGATGATTTGTCCGAGTGTCAAGAGATTTGTTTTGTTAAAGGATAAATCTAAAATTTCCAAATGAGTTCAAAAGATAGTGTTCTTCTTACCTTAGTTAAATAAACTCCTTCAATTTCAAGATAATGAAATGGATTACATGGTGTCACATCAACTAATAAAGTACGCAATCGTTTTATTAAAGGATTGCACAATATATTATCAAACTCATGTGGTGTAATATCGATCAGATGAAGACGCTGAAGCAATGTTGTTTGATAATATTTTAAAGACGATGAAACGAGCGACCATCCATCAATAACATTGGTTAATGTTATACGTAATGAAACAATTCGATTTCCGATTAATTTCAAAACATTTTGGCAAAGATCGTTGAACATCGAGAATGACATTGTTGAATCACCAATATGAATGTGCCACAAATATTCATGTATAACGATTCTTGAAAAATGTTTATTCAATGATAAAAATGATTGAAGAACATCAACGGGAGACAAATAACCGAATATTTCGAAAAGAACATCGGCAGGTAACAATTCAAACGCACTAACGATCATTTTATTCATGTGTCATATTCGTTCTTATTGAATGATATATATATATATATGTCGACGTGGATAAATGATATAATCGGTGTATTTTGTTTGAGGAGCATTGTTTTGATATTTGCTTACCTTTATGAATTGACCTCAACGAAAGAAAAAACATCGTCAGTTATTGAATGTATGTATGAACGATGAGAAAATGTGAATCGTTTCTTTTATTTACACATAGTACGTTATTAGATTTTTCTAAAGGATTGAAACCAGTGTTTCCAACAGCAAGTCTACCAAACAGAATCAAAATATATTAAACCCTGACGACATCCAATGTAGCGGCGTAACAAAAAAAATGCCGGATGATAGGACTCTGCTCCCAATTTTTTTCAAACTTATTGGATACATAGAAAGATGGTTTTGCGCAGCATAACATTGTATTTGCTTTTGAGAAAGTTGCCAGAGTCAACTATTTAACATCGTTTGAGAGATTTTTTTCAAACATCATGTTTTTAGGTGCAATGAACCTGAAAACTTATTGATATGAAAAATACTTAGGTCAGTCAAACAGTAGTGAGGGTGATGTCTTAATGTCTTATAGTAAGATGAAGGAGAAATTCCTTTCATATGAAATGATAGAGAAAAATGCTCTATCTTTCTATGTTATTTGATCATAGTTAAGTTAATATGATGATAGGAAAGTTTTCATAAGATTCGTTTTGATATTATGTGTTTTGGTTACGACAGTACATATAATTATCAATATGCATTCGCTTCTTAATTTTTTCCTTTGTTCCGCTTCTTTCTTTCTCCTATGTCTTTCTTTCTGGTTAGTTTTCGTTTTTCGAAAATTCACACTCACACCCTCACCCTCAGCAGCAGAAGATACTCCATATGTGTTGTAGCTTAAGAGAAATAAAAATGAAGCCTTTTCTCAATTTTTTATCTCTATAATTATTTTTGCTTCAATTGCTCAGCGAGATGTAGTCTAATTATAGGGAGAGAGAAAAATCGAGAAAATATGTCCCTGTTATTTTTCTTCAGCTACAATATGAAGATCTAATACTTTGAGTTTGTACCTAAATTGAGTAGATCTACTCACTATCACACAATGTAAGTAACTGTGACTAATGATGTCTCTAGTTACATATACGAAGTCTTCAAATAACGAGAGTATGTAATAATTTAACAGATGATCAAATAAAGTGAGATGGCGGCACGAGAAAACATGTTTTGGATTGACTCTTGTCGAATATTCATTCTAGTAAAAACATAAAGTTGACAATCAATATTTCTTTGCGTTGTGTCTATATAATTTCTGGCTAATATTTTAATGGAATTCCTACTCACTCAGAGTCCGTAATTATCGAAACACTGA